TCGCATCCAGGCAGAGGGGAATATACATACATGTATATATATATATACATATGTATATATTATATCTATGTGCCAATGTCAAAACTCCGCATGTCGGTCATGGCTACGGTCCCTCTGGTACACCCCCCGAAAAGGCTCGTCTGACCATGACCGCCCTTGATAAGCCCAAGTAAAAGAGTGCTTTGATCATCACACACATGTGCGCTTCAAAAAAAGATGTTCCCAAAATCCATAATTATACTATGGGTGTGCACTAACCACTTTGCAGGGTTTTGCCCATATGCCATACCCCATGTCATACCCCATTGAAATCATACCCAACCCCGGAGGCTTCCCTACTAAACGAAATCCATTTTGCACCGCCTAAAACACCATGGGTTTCAACCATAAAGTTCGTTGGTTTTTACAGGGAATTGACTCATGTCTTTTCTGAAAGGTGGTGCGATCCGCGGATTGGGCAAACATCCACAGTACTCAGATGCCCAGTGAATTTCCATGGGAAAAAAAGGCATCCTTTTTTGGTTGGTTGACTTTAAAGGGACACCCTTCCCAGGGTGTAAAAAAGGAACAAAGCGGCACCACTGGGTAGTGCTTTCGTTCCAAGGCGCCGGGCTCCCAAGAAGGCTGAGCGCCAGTGAAGTGCGTTTCCGCTCCCCGCCAGAGATCCCGCTCGTGAGCCCGGGCGAGCCTAGCGAAAACCCGATGTTCCCCCAATCAAATCGTGGCGGTCCTTTTTGTTCGTGTTCTCTGATTTTCCACTTTTAATTTGCTTGTTGCTTATGTTGAGTCATATTGGCTTGCTTTCGCATATGGAGCCGCACTTCACACATCTCCGCACAATTTCGGTAGTTTCTCCTGTATGAAGGCTGATGTCCATTCAGGGCCTGTGGCTTCGGCCTATGGGAGCAACTCCGGTTGCAGATTCTCTGGGAGCCGTGTTTGTTCCAAGGCCGGGAAAAAGATTCGGTGCTACCCAATTCAAAGTGGAATTGGGACCAGGATAGCCGTATGAGCAAGGGGTGTGTGCTTCCACTTTGACAGGACATACTCGCCTACATTGCTAGTTGCAAGGGGTTCTAAGGGAGGGAACAATTCGCTACACGTGTAAAGTTGCCCTATCCCTCCGAAACATCCTTTGCTTCCCGAATGGATACGCATCCCGGCCTATGATGGTATTTGCACATTCCCCCAGGCCAAGCTTGTCGATCACCTCCTCGACTGCAACAAGCCGCTGTTGGCGTGGCATTGCCAGCATCAACGCAGCGGAGAAGCACAAGTTCTCCCGCGGGGTCAGGTCCTCGTACCTTCGCCAGAAGCATGGCTTGTACCCAGCAGGGTGCTGGTTTTGGCCGGTCTGAACAAATGCAAAATTGCATGCTTCGTTTAGTGGCTAGTTTGCAGAACGTCAGCAAAGGAATCATGATCACAAATGCCTTGCCGCAATCTAGGACCACTGCATCGTCGCTTGTCACCTGCCTGCAGGATGCAAATAGGAGGCACACATGCGCTCTACAAAGCATGTGCGCGTCTAAGCTTCCCTAGCCTATGGAAAAGACATCACCAAATCGCCGGCCACAAGCGTGGAAGTGCTTGGGGCCCCTTTTCTGGAAGTCTTGCCGAAGGGGCCGGAGGCCTTGCATGTTGGGTGTAAACATGGCAATGCGGGCCACGTTTGTCAATGGAACGCCATATGAAACATTTGACGTGCGGCCAGGACAGACCCCTCCTCCACGGGCATGGCTTGCAAGGTCTGACCGTCAATTTCTTCAGACACGTTTTAACCACTCTTCTTGGTACATTAAGCAGCATGTTCTGAAAGCAATCTTGCAATGCCCGGACTTTGACACAACGCGGGGGGGGGGGGCAAACCCTGCTTCCATTTGTGTGTTCTCCCCCTGGAAAAATAAAAACACTTCCAGTGGTTTAAGCCCAACAAGGGAAAACAAAAACACATATTCTTAAGCAAATGAGCGCCTGCAATACAAAGGAACAAAGGCTCCACTGGGTGTCTGGGCAAGCCGGGGGGGGGACGCCATGAGTTCACCGGGCTGCATCAAATCCTCCTGCGCCAGGTACACGACGCGCCGCCTCGGCGGGCGCAGCCGGCCGTCATAAAGCACGCTGCCCTGAAGCCGGGCGAGCGCCGAGGGGGCAATCAGTCAGTGCCACAGCGTTGTCGTTTACGTACACGTGGGTGCCAAATAGGGGATCAATTAGGGCAGGTTTCGAACAAATAGCAAATTATCCTGTTGGTTTCCACATAAACATGTTGTGCTAATTAGGGCCTGTCTCAACTTGAGGAGAAAGACTTGTCGTCTTTAGGGTGTGCACCTAGTAAAATATGTTGCCCACATCTCTTCTCACAACCGTTGATGTTTTCAGCCTCCACGTCAATGCTGCGGGGTTCAGGGCACTTTCTTCGCATCCGCCCCCTCCTCCGTATTTAGTGAACCTGCCTAACCTGCCCTCCCGAAACACACTGGCATGCGTCTCTAGGGGGACGCGCAACATGGACTTCAGGTTTGCCTTGCACCTCCAAACCAATCTGCAAAAGGCCACTGGGAAAAGGGCTGGCATAACCCCCGAAACCAGTGGTTTTCCTCTTGGTGTTTCTTAAAAAAAAAGGCCAGCACATGGCAATTTCCGAGCCTCCCCCCCCTCCCGAACCCCAACATCTCTCCTCCAGGCGGCCAGTGCTTTGCCTGCCAGCCAGGCACCGCAGCAGGGTGGTCTTCCCCGAGCCCGAGGGGCCCATCAGCGCCACAGACTCCTCGATCCATCCGGGAAACCCCAATCCTCCCTTTGCCTTTTCGTTCCGCGGGGAAAAGAACCCCACCGCTATGTGATAAAATCCCTTTAAAACCAACAAGGGAAAAAACAACAACATGTTCTTTCCAGTAGTAATAGATTCCCTGTAAAAACAACAAGGGAAAATAAAACATGTTCTTAAGCAAAGGAAAGGAATCCGTCCGCTGGATTCCAAATGACCCGAAATTGCCATGGATCTTCGGCTGCCTACAGCCAGAAATGGACTTGTTGAGTCAGTCAACACAGCGATGCACAATAGAGGCCGCGTTCCCTTCAAACGATCTTAGTTTGGGGGAAATGACAAGACCCAACCTAAAGCCAAAGCGCGGGTTTGTCTCAAAGCGAGACCAATAAATTGGTTGCTTTCCCTTTGGTTTGCTGGGAATCCATGCGACAATGAGTAGATGTTGATTGCAAAACAATCAGTTAGCACACCAAACAACAAGTACAGTTCACACAGAGTTGGAGATGTCCGAATGTCGCTGGGGGTTCCATATGCTAACTGATTGTTGTCTTGCAGGAGCCACTGTGAAAAATTTACTTGATTCCCCTGCTGCTGGACAGGGACAAATTTTCAGAGTCCCCTGGTTGTAGCAGATTCGGGGCCCCCATGTCCTTCCGGAAAGGACCATATGTTGACCGAACCCCACCTGAGTTGTAAACACTGGCAGTTCACGAAAGAGGCGGTTGCTTGGCCCAATCTGGGTACACACAAAAAGCTATCTCTGGGTTCTGGCCCAGATTTAGCCTACCCAACACTCAACAGAATCTTGGACGAGACACCAGCTCGAGATCGAGCCCTCTTGTCCAACTTGTGGTCCACCTGGGCCTATTAAGAACCAACCAACCAACCAACCAACCAACCAACCAACCAACCAACCAACCAACCAACCAACCAACCAACCAACCAACCAACCAACCAACCAACCCTTTTAGTGTTTTTTGGGAAGCCCCAAGGACATAGCAAGCGCCCCATTGGCCATACCAATTTTCACCAAGTCCCTTTCGCTGGGACGCGCTCGCTCACTTCCAAGGCGCGCCGGCGGCGAAGCACACCTTCAGCTCCAGCAGCAGCTTCTCGCTCTCTCGCACACTGAGATCCACCGCCACGTTCATGGCTCATGCGCGGGACCGGTTTGTTTCAAAACCGAGGGGCCGCGGTTTACAGGTCGCAGGGCTAAACAGGTTCAATGAAGCTGTTGGGGATTGAAGGGCCCAACCGATGCCCCATTGGTGTCCGAATTTTTGGTGTTGTTTTGCAGCCAGGGCAATTAACATTGTCACTCCGGGGCTTAGACCCTTCCACTGGCCATTTGATTTCCAGGTAGCCCCAAGCAAGGCCTCGTGACTCACTTGGGTGCTCTAGCCCAAATGAGTCACAACTTGTCCCAAGAAAGACTCCCCCAATTAAGGAGCCGACTTTCGTCAGAATTGCTTCGGGCGGACCCTTAAGTAACACGGAGCCAACGTCAGACCTCAGCCCATATTTCTGTGCCAGCCGCTTTTGTGGCACTTGTGGCACTTGTGGCACACTTAAAAGCTGCGAGGATGAGACAGGATGGCGGGAATACGTAAGTAAGCGCAGTATGGCGTTTCAACCGAGGACTGCAAAACACTTACAATTGTTGCCAGGAACAGCCTGAAAACTACCCTCTGAGTTGTGGTTTCAAGGGAAGCCACAGGCTATCAAAAGTAATTTTGAAAACCCCCCAAAATGTTCACTTTAAAGGCTTGCTATCTTTGATGGATGAAACTGCGAAACACAGAAACAATCAAGTTGATAGCATCGTGTTCACCCTGGTGGGTTATGCACGCTTCGCGTAGGCAGACATATGGCTGGGATCGGTGAAGGCCTGAAGGGTTTCAACAAATTGGCAAGTGCACGCCCCGCCACGTTGGTACTTCAATTTTATGTGCGCTAACCTTGCTTGAAACACCTTGCTTGAAACATGAAAGCGTTTAGTCGAAGTGACACCATAGTTAGAACCTTTTGCGACTGGCTTTCTTTGAGTAAACAGGTAGACTTAAACCGAAGGGGTCAGTTTGCTTGGAAGACAACTCCGCAAGCTTACCTACTCCAAATGGGATTGTTTCAAAATCGGGGTTTCAGAAACTCCAAAGGCGCATGGTTGCCTTTTCGTTTCCCTTTTATGGGGCAAAAACGCTGTGATGCTGAAGCACGTGTTTGTCGCCTTGAGCTGCTCAAGGCTCGCGTCTTTGCTGATGGCCAAGGCTGGGAACTCCTGCCGGGCTTGGTGGAAAACTCAACCTACTGTGGATGGACGAAATCCTGCACCACTTTGAAACCATGGGACACCAGTGCTGGTTGGAAATTACAGGGGAATCATCAGGATTTCGTGCATCCACAGTATGATACTGAGGATGGGCAAAATCCACAGGCACCAGTTGGTAGGTAGAATTTATCAACCGGTATCTATGGGGGTTCATGCATCCTAACTACAGGATTTCTGTCCATAGAACCACTGTGAGCTGTCCCTGTGACCACTTCACTCTATCGCAGGAAGTGACCCTACTGGCCTCCCTGCAACCTCACGCCAACTATATCACAGTTACATGTTGGGACTCTGGCTCAGATTCAACCCACACTGACTCTTCAAATTCAAAAACATGTCAAAGGAGGCACCATTTCAAGGAACGGAAGAAAACAAAACAACCTTACTCAAAGCATGCACATGGCTGGTGGATGCTTACTCAAAGCATGCACATGGCTGGTGGATGCTGAATGAGGCTTGCGGTGGCTCCTTACGCAAGCTTCACATCACACTCCCCCTATGAGGTCCCCCCCAAACACACCTGCAAGCACAGGGTGTACTTGGAGGGTGATGCAGGAGCAGTTCTGTGATGGCCCGGCAAACGCACGCGTTCACAAAGATTACGCTGCCAGCTCCAGCGCCTGAATTTTGAGAATATGGCTTTTGAATCGGGCTCTGAACTAAGCCGGATCCATCCCCTTGTGCTTCGTGTTGGGAAAATGTGTAAACAAAACATTGGGCATCTGGTTATTTCGCTCCACCAAGTGCGGCACTCCAAGTGCCCCGCGTGAAAGCTGAAAGCTGATCTCCTGCCTAACGCTTGCAAGATCTGTCTTGGCCAGCTGACAGGGGAACATTTTCATTGGCGGCTGTCAACTTCGATGATTTCCAGAAGCCACCCCCAGGGTTTAATTGGATCAGTCACCCTTTAGCCACTAAGGGATATATATATATATATTTGTAGCTTATACATGTATATGCCTTCTTTGCCTGGGATAGTGATTTGGAGATAGGCCAAATACAATCTTACAGAACTCAACGAAGAACGAAAACACCTGGTTTGGCCATGTGCATATGTCGAAACAGGCAACGCCACCCTCGAAAGCCCGCTGATTCCTCGGTGTACTGCGGCCTGCGCACAGGGGTAGCCAGTGCACTTGGTTGAACGGGAAACCTTTCGGGGGTTGACCTTTTCTGCCCCAAAACCTGCGAACAAAAAAACTCACTGAACAACTGGGAAGAAGAAGGGCATGCCATCTGCACAGGCATAAACAAAAATTCCTGGCGGGTGGCATTTGTTGGGAAGCCCGTGCAAGAGGCGCTCTCTTCTCTGGTGATGTTAACTTCAGACTTCAGATTCATCCGCTCCTTGGCAAATCAATTGTGGCTCCGTTGCCTGAGCTTGCCGCTTTGGCCAGGCGTGAGTCCGCAAAGCAAACACAAAGGAGGCGACCCTGAAGCCCAACAGCATGGATAACCGCTTCAGGGCACTCTCTACAAAGGGAGTGACGCGAGACTTGTCAAACTACAGAAATGCCGGCCATTTGTTGATGCTGCCAGCCTGCAGAGTCAGAATAAAAGGGACATGTGGCAACTCGTTTTCGATTGTAGCCTTGTAGTGAGGAAGGACCCACAACGGAATTCTCCGATTTGCACGGTCTTTTAGATTCAGGAAGAAAGCGACCCCATGTTGCATTGCGTCGAAGAAAAACAATTCTGAGCCATTCCTGGCTGCATTCGACGTCCCATTTAGTAAGTCTCAAAACGGGGGGACCCGCTCAAAGCTTGAGGGACTCCGCCCAAAATAGGCTCCGGAGTGAGCCGGAGTGGTTCGGAAATTACCACCCCCTTAAGGGGGGGGGACCTGAAAATTGTAATATTACATTTCTGAGGTTCGCGCCTCTAGACTTTAGGCAATCCAATAGGTGGGGGGGACCTGAAAATGTAATATTACATTTCTGAGGTTCGCGCCTCTAGACTTTAGGCAATCCAATAGGTGGGGGGGACCTGAAAATGTAATATTACATTTCTGAGGTTCGCGCCTCTAGACTTTAGGCAATCCAATAGGTGGGGGGGACCTGAAAATGTAATATTACATTTCTGAGGTTCGCGCCTCTAGACTTTAGGCAATCCAATAGGTGGGGGGGACCTGAAAATGTAATATTACATTTCTGAGGTTCGCGCCTCTAGACTTTAGGCAATCCAATAGGTGGGGGGGACCTGAAAATGTAATATTACATTTCTGAGGTTCGCGCCTCTAGACTTTAGGCAATCCAATAGGTGGGGGGGACCTGAAAATGTAATATTACATTTCTGAGGTTCGCGCCTCTAGACTTTAGGCAATCCAATAGGTGGGGGGGACCTGAAAATTGTAATATTACATTTCTGAGGTTCGCGCCTCTAGACTTTAGGCAATCCAATAGGTGGGGGGGACCTGAAAATTGTAATATTACATTTCTGAGGTTCGCGCCTCTAGACTTTAGGCAATCCAATAGGTGGGGGGACCTGAAAATTGTAATATTACATTTCTGAGGTTCGCGCCTCTAGACTTTAGGCAATCCAATAGGTGGGGGGGACCTGAAAATTGTAATATTACATTTCTGAGGTTCGCGCCTCTAGACTTTAGGCAATCCAATAGGTGGGGGGGACCTGAAAATTGTAATATTACATTTCTGAGGTTCGCGCCTCTAGACTTTAGGCAATCCAATCGGTGGGGGGGACCTGAAAATGTAATATTACATTTTTGAGGTTCGCGCCTCTAGACTTTAGGCAATCCAATAGGTGGGGGGGACCTGAAAATTGTAATATTTTTGAGGTTCGCGCCTCTAGACTTTAGGCAATCCAATAGGTGGGGGGGACCTGAAAATTGTAATATTACATTTCTGAGGTTCGCGCCTCTAGACTTTAGGCAATCCAATAGGTGGGGGGACCTGAAAATTGTAATATTACATTTCTGAGGTTCGCGCCTCTAGACTTTAGGCAATCCAATAGGTGGGGGGGACCTGAAATTGTAATATTACATTTTGAGGTTCATGCCTAGACTTTAGGCAATCCAATAGGTGGGGGGGACCTGAAAATTGTAATATTACATTTCTGAGGTTCGCGCCCTAGACTTTAGGCAATCCAATAGGTGGGGACCTGAAAATTGTAATATTACACTTCTGAGGTTCGCGCCTCTAGACTTTAGGCAATCCAATAGGTGGGGGGGACCTAAAATTGTAATATTACATTTCTGAGGTTCGCGCCTCTAGACTTTAGGCAATCCAATAGGTGGGGGGACTTTGAAAATTGTAATATTACATTTCTGAGGTTCGCGCCTCTAGACTTTAGGCAATCCAATAGGTGGGGGGACCTGAAAATTGCAATATTACATTTCTGAGGTTCGCGCCTCTAGACTTTAGGCAATCCAATAGGTGGGGGGGACCTGAAAATTGTAATATTACATTTCTGAGGTTCGCGCCTCTAGACTTTAGGCAATCCAATAGGTGGGGGGGACCTGAAAATTATAATATTACATTTCTGAGGTTCGCGCCTCTAGACTTTAGGCAATCCAATAGGTGGGGGGAACCTGAAAATTGTAATATTACATTTCTGAGGTTCGCGCCTCTAGACTTTAGGCAATCCAATAGGTGGGGGGGACCTGAAAATTGTAATATTACATTTCTGAGGTTCGCGCCTCTAGACTTTAGGCAATCCAATTGGTGGGGGGGACCTGAAAATTGTAATATTACATTTCTGAGGTTCGCGCCTCTAGACTTTAGGCAATCCAATAGGTGGGGGGGACCTGAAAATTGTAATATTACATTTCTGAGGTTCGCGCCTCTAGACTTTAGGC